GGGATGACTATAAGTGGTCTCATTTTTGAAGGTAAATTTATTTATCTATGAGATTTTTATTCACATTTGTTCCGCTCATTTTTATGTTAGGGCGTTACGAAATCGCAATTAAGTGCGAGCGACACTTAGAACGTGCAGCCAGTTTTTTCTATTGGGCACCGATTTAGTTAAGAGTATACTTTCTAGCTAGATTTAGCGAAGCATGAAGTGGCGCGGTGGAAAGAAAAAGAGAGACAGAATCCGATGACACGCGGAGAGTATCGGTCGAGAAAGTATCACGATGAAGAGACCGCATACCCGTGAGACTAAAACGTACTATCTAATAAATACACATGTGTGCCGCGGAAAGAGCAACTTTGATAAAGAATTTTAAAATTTATCTACTCATATAGGGTTTTACAATTGCTGCATTACTGGTTGCCACAGTTCAGGTACTGACAAACTACTGGCGCAATATTGACTAAGTACTGGATGATAACTTGAACTCAGTATTAGTAGATGATATTGGCCCAGTTATTTTAGTGTCATTTGTCAGTGATGACAGTGATGATCTAATATTGACTAATACAGGTTGACAGAACCTTAATCGTTAGTTGTAGCGTTGGCTAAGCGTTAATTTCATTGTAACTGGCGACTCTAAATTGGTAGATACAGATCTGAAAATAATTTTGTTGGATCATCAAAATGATTTTGTGGGGATCTTAAGTATGCTGAGCAATGCTACAAAATGTTTTGATATTTTAGCAATCAATTTTTTGTCATCCTATCTAATTATTTTGACGGTCCAGCAAAATTATTTTTATATCTGTATCTAGGTGAATTTTTCGATTCTTCAGCAAAATTGCTCTTTCCGTGTGAGTGTATGCGCGAAAGGGGATTCTGCAGTGGCGGCAATGAGATAAATGTATCTCAGTAGCGCAAGCGCGCACACACACTCCACGACAAATAGAGTCGTTCTTAACTTCGCTCGATTATATTACGGGTCTCGAGAAATTACCGAGTCGCTTACATGCACGACCGGGGACGCGATTAAACTTTCTGTCGGATATTTCTCGCCGTCACGAATAATAAGCAGGCTTGAATTAATAAGAAGGAAAGACGTCGCGTTCATCGTGGAGGGAAACGAGGGAACGCTAATTATAATTTGGATTGTTATTTTAGCAAACGGGATCGTATGATTTCGATTGTGTGAAACGTGGACGACGAAAAATGTGTGTCACAAGTGTTTTTACATTTTTGATATTTTGGCGTATACAGTAAGAATTAATTGCAGTGAGATAATACCTTAGCCGTAAATATAAAGGCGTCAGTTTATTTTCTCGAAAGAGCACTGGCGGGGTAATAAAAACTAAAGAAAGACTAATAAAATATTAATTCTTCGTCGGCAATTAGAGTCTTTAAAGGCATCATCAATATTTTAATTGTGAATTTTCGTAGACAAATTTAAATCTGCAAAAAAATAAATAAAATGCAATCTGACTTCTATTATGATGAAAACTCTGTTAAAGCTTTGATAAATATACCAGAATTTTTTTTCAGGCTTTGTAATTCAAAATAAAAAAATCTACGCGCTTTTTGTTTCTGAAAGATCTCTATTAGTAATGAAAGAGTTAAAATTATTATTGTCATGCCAGCGGAGGATTAAAATTGTTATAAAAATAATAAAAATTATCTTTCAGTAAAATATTTTAATTTATTTTTTGTCAGGTAAAACGTTATATCAATTTATGGGGGATGCTTTATACTTTGACCAAGGCTGACTAATATTAAACCTTCAAAATTCAGCTATAAATAATATAGTTAAACAGTTAAATTCAAGAAATGTATTAAATTTGACTTCAATTTATTATTTACTAATTGTAAATGCATACATTAATATAGATGCTCTATATTTTTTATTTAAACAGTTCAATTATAGATGGGTTGATTAGACTGAGTGTGGCGAAAATGAAAGTTGGCGTATCTTTTTCTGAAGCCGAGAATAATCTGGGAATAGAAAACTATCGAATACGATGGTATAATTCTTTAGCATTCATCTGCAATTAAACGATCGCGGCGAACAGTGATTACTGTTGGTACGTTTAATTTGCATGACAATGCAGCGATTCACTCATTGACATGCACGTTTCGTTTCGCTTCGTATATTTCGACTATCGAGAAAGTATCGCGCTTCGGCAGATCGACTTCTAATCGGAATTCGTGCTTGCTTTATGGAAGAAAACCCAGATTTCTGAGAGACTGTTTACGCTATGAGTGTCAGGCTCGAAGTAAAGATTATCGTTTTACAAATGTCTGTAAACATTCTCGATATTTACCCCGATTTTTATGATACTTAAACATTTCATGTTATGATGCGTAGATTCATAGTTTCTTGATTTTACAATGGAAATAGAATACGTATACATAATAGATATAATTATAAACATGAGACTTCTCTAGTTGATATTTTGTTTTTGAACAAGTATTTGTATTGAATCTCGTTATTTTTATGTCACGACTTGATAATTTATACAACGATTTATTCATTTGTCGCAACTCACGACCTTTTACACTGTTAAATATTAAAGGATCATATTTAAATCAGTTCCTTGAGTTAAATAATATTTTATTATTTAACTTTGTTATATTTAATTTTCAAGTGTGTTAAATGTATTTTAATATAAAAAATGTAAAAAAAAAACAATCAATCTAATCAACTCATCTGTGAATTGTTTAGTTTGAAGATAAACAGCTTTTTTTAAATAAATGTGTGTACTTGATATAAATATCCAGTAAATTAAATTGAAGTTTTTAATACATTTCTCGAATTTAATTGGTT